ATTGCTTCCATTCCCCCCCACCTCAGCTCTAAGAAACCTCTCACTCCCTCCGGATCTGAACTGAATATTCAGCTTATTTTTAATAGCGTTGGTTGAATTCAGATGTTCCAGTTTTAAAATAAGAAATCTTGGCTTCTAAGCACCAAGCGGTGACGCAGAGCTGCCTTTCCCCCCTGCACAGATCAGTTCTACTCCTGGTGAAATCTACCCCCAGCAAACAAGCCCTCCATCATGCCCGGTATGAACCAAGGAGGGAGTGGGCCGTGGTTAATTTCACATCTCACTAGGTAACTCACTGCAGCACAGGCCCCGGGATCTGAACGCACAAGCGGCCTGAATCCGCATTCAGTTTTGGCAGCTCCTCCCAGACCAGACTCTGCTCTAAACCGAGTTTTGCCGCATTCAGCGCTGCCGTAAGCCAGTTCTGCTTAGCACTTGAGACGGGACACTACAAGCACCAGGCTAGTTACTGGTCCGAGATGCTTGCATCAGGTATGTCGGCGGGAGTTCTGTCCAAGCGAGGACTGCGGGATTAGCCCCTTTCGTTAATTCAGCTTGCAAACTTCACTCCCCTGAGCAACGTCAGCAAAGTGAAAAGGGGACTCAGCGAAAGCTTTGACACCAGTAACAGGTACAGCATCAGGCTGTTTCAGACGGGTGTTTAATAGACCAACAAGGCATAGTTGTTTACTGCCTTAGTGAACCGCGATGGTGTCATTGCTGTAAAATCAGAGTTTTGCTTCTAGCCACCCACACCCAGATCCACCAAGGTATTTAGGCTCCTAAATTCTACTGATTTCCTCGGATTGCTTTCAGGGGACATTAGGAGCCTAAATAACGTGTTGGATCTGGGCCCCAGTTTTTAATTGTCTTCCGTCAGTTGACATGGCCCAACGCCCTCATGTTTGCACCAATCTCCCCAAGAGCCTATTGCAAAATTTAACTCGCGGGCCGAGCGCACAATCACAGGATTAACCCAGACAAGAACCGAGGGGAACGGCAACATGACATTCAAGAGCAACCAGGCCCTCGAGCCCCCAATCCACCTCTGGCTACAGCAGCTTGTGACCACGGCTGCACGGAGAGAGGCCACCACAAAGGAACAGTCGCCAAACTCCTCCCAAAAAACCAAAGGCCAAACCCCACCCTCTCAGGTTATCGACCAAGCCCCACTGTCTGCTGTGGGGCCATCCCTAGGAAGACCAGATAGCAAGTGTGAAAAATCGGGACGGGGGGTGAGGGAGTAATAGGAGCCTATATAAGAAAAACCCCTAATATCGGGACTGTCCCTATAAAATCGGGACATCTGGTCACCCTAGCCACCCCACGTGAAATGAGAGGAGAATCTGACCCTGTGATTTCATCTAGGCCTCAAGCCACTTGGGGTAACATGTTCAAAAGCACCCAGGAGTATGTCTACACTGTAACAAAAAACCTGCGGCACCGAATCTCAGAGTCCCGGTCAATTGACTCGGGCTGCAAGGCTAAAAATTGCCATGTAGACGTTTGGGCCTGGTCTGGAGTCCTGGCTCTGAGACCCTCCCCACTTGCGGGGTCCCCCAAACAACGTCTCCACTGCCATTTTTATCCTCCCCCCAACCCAAACCCTGCGAGTCCAAGTCACCTGACCAGGGCCAGCCACGGCCATGCTGCGGCTCTCTGCTTGCTCTTAGAACCCTAAACGCTATTGGCTTCCAATGTACCTTTTGTTGCGAAGGGCCAGATTTCAAATGTATTTAGGCACCTCCCAATGCAGATAAGCAACTAGCCCCAGAGCCTCCCAAATACTGAGACTCCCACTGACTTCAAGCTTTTGTAGCTGCCCGTCTGTGTCTGTAAACACCAGAATACCTTAGAAAATCTGGCCCTCAGTAGCCTAAATCTCACTGAAAGCCAGTAGGATTTAGGCTCTTAAGTCACTCAGACACTTTTGAAAATGTTTTTCTTGATGACTTTTCAGAAACTTTGTTACTGTGACCAACATCTCAGCTTCCTGCCAACGATCACACTAGGCCAGATCGTCCCTCTAAGCAAAGATTTCCAAACAGACAGTCCTATTCCACTGATGCAATCTGCAATGGGTTTATGAGAGCTCAGTGCATTTGTTTGTTAATATCAATGGATTATGTTCAAATTAACAAACACCTCTCCACGAGCTCCCACACACACACTCACACACAATGTGCTGGGCTTTATTGCAAGATGGACAAAACAAACAAACAAACGATTGTTTGCAAAAGGAGAGGTACCTGAATGGATATGAATTATTTCACACACCTGCAACTGTTTTCCTTCAGATGCATCAAGGCATTCCCCCCACCCCCGCCTCCTTTCCCAGTAGGAGTGAAAATTCACGTAGCTACGAAATAAAGCAGATTTGCAAAAAACTCATCCCTAGGTTTATCAAGATATAAGAAAAAGAGGTGCATCTGCTTACTTTGTATTTGCTTATTTTAAATTTGTTCTCTATCTGCCATATGAAATGAAATTAATATGCCAAAACTCCATGTCTCAAAGGAGGTAGCTTTTGGTTTGCTTTATATATCTAGATCTATAGACTACAGGTTAAGGCACTGGGACACAGGACCTTCTGATTGAATTCACAGTTCCTGGGTGACCTTGGGCAAATCACTGAATTTCTCTGGGCCTCAGTTTCCCTTCTTCTGAACCACGCTTTGTCTGTTTTGTTCATTAGGCCCTGATCCTGTCCAACACATGAGCGTTAACTTTCTGCTCAGGACACGTACGTCACATTAAGCACATGCACACATCTTTACAGGAAGAAGGAATTTTCTCTTGTAAACTGTCCCTGGCCATCTGTACAGCCCCTAGCACAAAAGGGAGCCAACCTCAGATGGCACCTTTGGAGAAACTATAATACATATGATAATCCAACTAATAATATATATACACTGCAGTAAACTCTGCTTCCTTGGCCAAGCTGTACGGACAATATCTCTGCTCAATCTTCAATTCAACGGAGAAGGCAGTTCACTATTTTAAACACAGCAAAGCCAAGATTGAATTCAGCTGTTGGTATTTTCAAATCCCCGCAACCCCATTTTTTTTCTCCTCCATGAGACAGGCAGGAAAGCCATTATCAATTTCTTCCCCCCCGCCCCCCCGTCACTGCCTAGCAATCAAATAAACAAACAAAACAGGGTTGCACTGATGAGGGGGATGACATGGATTAAAACTGTTGCAATCCGATTTTTTTTTAATAAAGTCCCAATTGCGGCACTAGTTTGCCATTAAACAGACCAAGACGGCTTTTCCTGCTGCCTCCCCAAAAATGGCCCATAGTCGCTTCTGAGGTATAACCTCTCTCCAAGCCCACAGCACCTGGGGCCAAAGGCTTTTTTGCAATGTACAGTTCAGAAAAGGAACTGGCAACGTGGTAATGACCCTTTACAAATAATAAGTCTTGCCCCGTCACTGCAGTAAATAAATACATAAAGACTTTGTTCCAGTTCTGGCTAAAATATTCCCCTGGCAAAAGGAATTTGGATTCCTGGCCACTGCTTTTCAGGTGTGTGAGCCTATTTTCTTTCTGAATTCGCGTCCCGTGTGGATTTTCCTATAGCAGTATGTTACTTTCTTCCATACACACACAGCCATACCCTCTTTGCTGATAGTTCACATTCCACCAGCCCAAAATACTAATCAAACAAATCAAGAAGTAAATAAATTGTGGGTGGTTGCTTTTCTTTCCCTCTTTTTTTTTTATCCTCTCTAAATTTCATTTGCTTTTTATCTCATTGGGGAGAAATAAAAAACAAATCCACACATTGGAATAAAACTTGGCTTTATACCAAGTGCTCTGGACTTTATCTCACTCACCCCTGTATAAAAATATTGCTTAATTGTGCTCTCTTCGTTTATTTATTTTCGTAAGGGTGTGTGTGGCCTTAGCACACACAAAAAAGGAAAATTTCATTTTTTAAATAGTACTAAAAATGAAACTCAAACGGTTTCCCTAGAGCTGCAAATACTGTTCAATTAGAGTTCTCTCTCACTGGTAATAGAGGTTTTCTCATTCAAAAGAAAGGGGGCTATTACTTGATAACTCTTTAGCACAGTATAGGCATTAAATACAACCTCTGTCTTATTTTAACTGACCAGGCCACTGAATTTATCCCGCAAAAGGGTTCCCACTTGCTGAAAAAACAGACTCACTACAGCACGATCCCTGCTGAAGAAAACACACCACATACATACACTCACCAATGCCCTAGAAAATCAGCGGTATCCTATTGACTCCCAAGTCAGGACAGGGTAGGGTCAATTTAGTGCCATTCTCTTTTCAGACAATTCTCCTCTTCTCTGAGTAGCCTCAACAAGCATTTGATCTCTTCACCCCACAGCTTTGTGTTTTGGGGGTGTCAAGCTGCCCTTTAGAAAGTGGCTTGGAAACATATTAACGCTTTTGTTTATGAAGCACAAGCAATTCCTGTGACACACACACAATGTCCTGTAATCTCACATATGATCTTTCCACACTCTCATTCGCCAGCCACTCAGACTCATTCAAGACAAGTAAAGACAGTTACTGTTACGATATTACATTAGTCTGTCTATTGAAACACCTACCCAGATTTGACTGACCATTGGTTGTTTTTTTTAAGGGAGGGGGGGTTCTTCTGATGTTTCGGAATAGTTCTTGTGTGGGGACATTTTTTTTTAAAGCAAATTCATCTTAAGGGGACTCGACTGGTTGCAAAGCAAAATCATTGACAGTAGGTTGGCCATTTCTCCCCCCAAACCCTTGCCCCTTTGGCGAGGGTCTGGCTGTGCCCATCACCCCCATCTCGGTTCTGCAAATCACACTCACCGTCCAGACACCATCTCTAACCCCCCCCTCCCTGGAGTTTGTAAAGTAAAAGCAGAAGCCAAATGCCCAGGCAGAGGTTCGATCTGCAGAATACAAAGCGCTCTGCTTTGCTGCTTGGGAAGGGAAAGTATTAATAAGAGAGGAAATTATTGATTCTCATGGCACGTACCATTATGGTGCAGGGAACCTGGCCAAACATCAGCAACCCATTTTTTCCCTCTCTCTAAGAAACAAAACAACCAAAAAAAAAACAGACAGACGGGGGGAAAAAACTGCTCTCAAGTTTCCACAAACCCTTCGACTTCTTGCAGCGGAAGCAGGAGCCGGAAAACTAGCGACGCCTTGGCCAAGGCGAGGGAGCCTCGCGCAGGTCCCGAGCGGCCCGGGAAGGAGGGAAGGGGGAAAAAACGAGGAAAAACAAATGTGGGGGGGGGGAGGTTTCCGCCTGGCGTTGGGAAGAAAATCGCGACCGGCGCGTCTCGGGCTCTCGCTCCTTCCTCCTCGGCTGGATCCTGTTTTACTCTCACGCCTCGCTCAAGTTGGAAGGAGATTGGCCTGCAAAGCCTGGAGAAATGCCACCTTCTGTGCCGCCCTTCCAGCTCGAGCGGTGCAGTGCGGGGAAGGGAAGGGAGGGTGGCGGCGGCGGGGGGAGAGGAGAGGAGAGGAAAGTCTGGGCAAGTGAAGCCCGGCAGGAAGTTTGCTGCCGAGCTGGGGGGGGCTGTTGGTGGCTTTGTTTAGGTTCCCCCCCCCATGGGTTTGGGGCGCTTTATTCGGGTCTCTGGCGCGGCGGGGGGGTCGGGGGGGGAGAGGCCAGGCCAGGGCAGGGAGCTGGCCCAGCCCCCTGCTTTGGGGCGAGCTGCGGAGCGGTGGCCGTGAGTGAATTGTTACGATCCGGGCCCTGGGGGGGGGGGGG